GCCCTTCTATCTAGGGACCGGGACAATTTTTAATTTAACTTTTGTTTTTGTTTTTTTATTGTTGTTCCAAAACCGGGCCCATTGTCATCCCGTCGTCGATTCTGCCTCGTAGTGACCCTCTGTCGGGTCTTTCCCCGGAGCAGAGAGCCTTCTTTTTCACCAGTGGATCTGCTGACGGATTGAGTGGCTGACCTTGCAGTTGTACTGCTTATCCCACAGCCCCAGCGCGGCTGTTCAGAAACGGCCCGGGAGTCAGTCCCAGCTCCCAGGTGCAATTTTCAGGGAGCCCATGTGCAGCAGAACGAAACACCGCCCAGACCCTCACCAGCCTCACAGTCTGTGCCATGCATCCGCCGCTGTTGTGCCCATCCATCGTCTTCTCCTTTTTCAGTGAGCCTCTGTTTTACCAAGCATGATGCCCTTCCCCAGCGACCGGCACCTCCTGAGGACATGTCCGAAGTGAGACAAAGTCTCTCCATCCTTGCTTCTAAGCAGCGTTCTGGCTGTAACACAAACTTGTTTGTTCTTCTGACAGTTGTGGTATATTTAATGAACAGCTTCAGCCATAATTCAAAGGCGTTAGATCTTCCATCTTCCTTACCCAGCTTTCCCCATGCATATGAACCAATGGAAAATGCCCTGGTTGGGGTGAGGCACACTTTATTTCTCTCTCACTTTTTAAAGATCTTTTGCAGCGTAAATGTCCAGTACAATACATTGTATGGTTTTGTGAGTGGCTGTATTCCTGGGTGTTTGTAGATCCAAGTCAAATGAACTCTCTATAGCTTCAATCTTGTACTTATTGTGATGTTCCTTATTGGTTCATTAGTGTGGGTTTTTTGTTTTATTTACACTGAGTTGTAATCCATACAGAAAGCTGTACTCGTTGGTCTAGATCAATAAATGTTTCAAGCTCATTTTGATTTCAGCAAGCAAGGTTGTGTGCATATTACAGGTTCCCTCAATTCTGGTGCCACATTCTTCTTTTAAGCCAGCTTCTCAGTTTATTTGCTCATCCTACTGATTGAGTAAGTGTGGTGAGAGGGATACAACTCCGATACACACCTTTCCTGTTTTTAAACCATGCAGTGTTATCCTGTCATGTTCCCACAACTGTCTCTTGATCCATGTACAGGTTCTGCATGAGCACAGTTAAGTACTTGTCCTGGAAATCCATTCTTGACATTGTTTTTCATATTGTTATAATCCATACAGTCAAATGTCTTTGCACAGTCAGTAAAACTGGTAAGCATCTCTCTGGTAACCTCTTTGGCTAAATTTCATCTGACAGCCATGCTAACAGTACTTTATTAACAGGGCTTCTAATCAGTTCATTCTGGTTTGACTTTGCCTTTCCACCCCAGATACTCTGAATTAGGTTGTACAGGTTAACAGGCCAAGTAATTTTTACTTGGATCTGGAGAACTGAAGAGTGTTATGCAGCATACTTGGGGTGGAAAGGCAGATTCTCAGTAGGCGTCCAACTGGAATGAACTGGTTGGAAGTCCTATATGTAAACATCGTAAGCACCTAGATGCAGTCACTCCACCTACACTGACTTTGTCGCTGTTCCTGAGCATACTTCTTCCTCCAGTTGTTTGCACTTGCTGGGCCTCTTTCCTGGAAAGCTCTTCCCCTGGGTATTGATATGGCTCCTTCCTTTGCTTCCTTCCAGACCTCCATAACAAACCTTACTCTGTTATACTTGTTGCTGATAGGTGCCATTGAGTCAGCTCCGGCCTGTAGCAGCTATGTACACAATGCAACACTGCTGGGTCCTGTACCATCCTCACAGGTGTTCATATTCTTGAGCCCATTGTTGCGGCCACCGTGTCAGTCCATCTCCTTGAGAAGCCTTCCTCTTTTTCACAGTCCCTCTGCTTGACCGAGCATGATGTCTTTCTCCAGGGGCTGCTCTCCCCTGACAACATCTCCACAGTATGGGAGACGGCGTCTCGCCATCCTTGCCTCTGAGGAGCACTCTGGCTGTGCTTCCAAGACCGAACTGTTTGTTCTTTTAGCAGTCCATGGTATTTTCAGTATTCTTCACCAGCACCACAATTCACATGCAGCAATTCTTCGGTCTAATTTATTCAGTGTCCAACTTAGCGATAGAGGTCTTTAATCACCCTAATATAAAATAGTGAACTTCCTACCTCTCCATTATCATTCATTTTCCTTTACTCTTATCTCTTCACAACACCATTTGACATATATTTCTTAACCTGTCTGTTAATTCTTCCTCGATCAAATATTAGCTGCCCGGGGTCCAAAGTGGAAGACCAGTCTGTTTTGTTCATCTTTCTAGCTTCTCTTTCAACAATTTTTAAAAAATTATTGAACTCTTCCCACCCACCCTCCTATTTATTTATTTTTGGTGTAGGTTTTTCTTTTTTTTCTTTTAAAAAAAATCATTAGGGGCTCTTACAGCTCTTATGACAGTCCATGCATATATCTGTTGTGTGAAGCACATTTGTACATATGCTGCGGTCATCATTTTCAAAATATTTTCTTCTTGACCCCTTGGTATCAGCTCATGTTTCCCCTCTCTCTCCCTCATGAACCCTTGATAATTTATAAATTAGTATTTTTTGCATGTCTTACAGCAACTGTCTCTCTTCACCCACTTTTCTGTTGTTTGTCCCCTTGAAAAGGGGTTATAGGTAGATCATTGTGATCGGTTCTTTCAACAGTTTTCATGTGCTGTAGCAAAAGGATTCATTCTTTCCCCGATTTAAAAATGTTTGTGTAAGGATCTGTTTTACTCTTGGTGTAATAAAATATAACAGAGTCTAATCTTTGAATTAATACTATCCTAGTCACTATCGGAAGCGGTCAGCATCACGCGGACGTTCTGGAAGCCGATCTAGAAGTCGTTCTCCTTCAGACAAAAGAAGTAAGCGTGGAGATGACAGGCGGTCTAGGAGCAGAGACAGAGACCGAAGGAGAGAGAGATCTCGTAGCAGGGATAAAAGACGATCTCGGTCAAGAGACAGGAAGCGTCTGAGGTAAGACAAATCTCCAAAGAACTGATGATAAATTAGATTTCTTTGCAAGCATGTTTTGGCTTAGAATTTAGTGATCGGTCCTGTGCAGGCCCTGGGAGCCCAGGTGTCGCAGTGGTTAAAACACTTGGCTGTAAATGGACAAGTCAGTGGGTCTAACCCATTAGCCACTCTGTGGGAGAAAGATGTAGCAGTCTGCATTCCTAAAGATGTCCAGCCTTGTAAACTCTGAGGCAGTTTTCCTCTGTCCTGTAGGGCCACTGGGGAGGCCTGGAGGCATAGTGGGTTCTACGTTAGGCTAGTAATCTCAAGGCTAGGAGTTTGAACCCACTGGCTTCTCTGAGGGGAGAAAGATGAGGCTCTTAGATTCACAGCCTCAGAAACACACAGGGGCAGCTGTACACACACACAGGGTCACTGTTAATTGGAATTGATGGTGGTGAGGGTGTTTTGTTTGCTTGAACTGGGGCCTCTGAGTTGGAATCCACTTGACAGCAGGGGCTTAGCATTTGTTTTGTTTTTTTCAAGCTCTCTGCTTTAACCCCAGATTATTTGGTTAGACTCAAGAGAAATTCCCCAGCCCAGCAACTCTCTCAAACAGTCATTTACGTAGAGACTAGGCTAGCTTTTCTCACCCAAAGAGAAGCCTTCAAAGTCCCCTGAGGAAGCCAGGGGAATGTTAATGGCGAGAAGGTAAGGGAATGTCATCAGAGGATGCTATTTTCATCATACTTCCAGAGGATTGCCCACTTTCCAGTGGCCCCGAGACCTAGCAGGAGAAGGAAACAGATGGCAGAGCCCTCTTTAAACTCTGCTTGCTATTTTAAAATATTTTCTAAAATATCTAAAAAGTTGTCTTAGGACAGTGGTTCTCAACCTTCCTAATGCACAGCCCCTTAATACAGTTACTCATGTTGTGGTGACTGCACTCCACCCATAAAACTATTTTCGTTGCTACTTCATAACTGTAATTTTGCTACTGTTATGAATTGTAATATAAATCTTAATGTGTTTTCTGATGGTCTTAGGCCACCCCTGTGAAAGGGTTATTTGACCCCAAAAGGGGTCAAGACCCACAGGTTGAGAAACGCTGTCTTAGAATTAAACCAAGGATATCCAAATTGGTATTGTGCTTTAAATCGACACACTCCCTGGTACCAGCTAAGCAATCTTAGTTTTTTCTAGAAGGGAAAAGCAGTTTAAGCAAAAATAGTCTGCCCCACATCAAAATTAAATTTCTATAACCTTATTAAAATAGTGATGGGCATAAGAGGGGAGATTTTACAGCTGCTGTGAGCTGCTGGTAGAAAGAACTTGGATTTTATCTGGCTGACATTTGAAGGAGAGTGCATTAGGATAATACTTGTTACTTGAGGGAAGTGAGTACTAACAAATTCCTTACTTGGCCCCAGGAATAATGTCCTAAAATACAATCAAATACATCTTAAGTGAAATTGGTCTTTAAGATTTGCTTTTTGACTTTTTGGCCATGGAGGTAGAATCATAACATTTTAGAGCAAGAAAGATTTTGCAATTATCTAGTGGAGTCTCTCTGTTTTATAGCAGAGGAAGACAGTACTCAGAGAATTAGTGTGCTCTGCCCTGTATCATCTCAGCAGCAGGTTTTTCAAACTTCAGATCAAGGCCCCTTGTGGTTAGGTGCTTAATGGCTAGCTGCAAGGTCTGCAGTTTGAACCTTCTAACTGCCCCGTGGGAGAACAGACCTCGCAAAGGGCTCTCATAAAGCCTAGGAGTCCTTGTGGGGCAGCTCTGCTCTAGGGGGTTACTGTGCATGATGGATGACAGCACACAGGGACAACAAACACCTTTACATCACTGATCTTATCTCAGCCCCATTCTTTTTTTTTTTTAACATTTTATTAGGGGCTCATACAACTGTTAATTGCAATCCATACACACATCAATTGTGTAAAGCGCGTTTGTACATCATTCTCAAAACATTTTCTCTCCACTTAAACCCCCAGCATTAGGTCCTCATTTTTCCCTTCCCTCCCCACTCCCCCCTCCCTCATGAGCCCTTGATAGTTTATAAATTGTTATTTTTGTCATGTCTTGCCCTGTCTGACGTCTCCCTTCACCCACTTTTCAGTTGTCTGTCCCCCAGGGAGGAGGTCACATATTGTTCCTTGTAATCGGTTCCCTCTTTCCTACCCACTCTCCCTCTACCCTCCCTGTTTCGCCACTCTCACCACTGGTCCTGTAGGGCTCATCCGCCCTGGATTCCCTGTATTTTCAGTTCCTATCTGTACCAATGTACATCCTCTGGTCTAGCCAGACTTGCAAGGTTGAATTCGAGTCATGGTAGTGGGAGTGGGGAGGAAACATTTAGGAACTAGAGGAAAGTTGTATTTCTCATCGTTGCTACATCGCACCCTGACTGGCTCATCTCCTCCCCGAGACCCCTCTGCAAGGGGATCCCAGTGGCCTACTAATGCTCAGCCCCATTCTTAATAGATGGCTAGGCTGTCTTTGAAAATGGCATTTGCCTAGATTTTACATTGCAAACGCTGTAGATTTTAAGTCACTATTATTAGGTTTCTTTTTTGTTTTCTTAATAACAAGCATCATTATAAAGTAGTATTCAAACTTTAATTTTTTTCATCGATCACTTACAAGAATTGCCAGGTTCCTTACTTAGCTGATGTAACAGTTAATGGAAATCTCTCCTTTAATAATGGAAATAAGTAAGAAGCTTCTTTCTTCGTGGTACAGAATCATAATCTGAAATAGCTCCATTTGGTAAGAGAAAAAAAAACAAAAAACATTTTCATTGCAGGCGTTCCAGGAGCAGAGAGAGAGAGAGAAGCCGAGAACGAAGGAGATCTCGCAGTCGAGACAGGAGACGCTCAAGAAGCAGAAGTCGGGGCCGGCGATCCAGATCCTCGAGTCCTGGCAATAAAAGCAAGAAAGCTGAAAATAGGTAATGCTACCAAGAGGCTGACTGCATCATCCAACCAGGAGCTGGTTCTTTCCCCCATGTTTTTCTTTCTGTCCTTTTACATTTATCATAAATAGTCAACGGAATTTGGGTCCTGCCGTGACCTGTTGGCTTAGTGATGGTCACTAGTCACTAGGTTATAAAGCTTATCATTCAGTTGGAAAATACTGCACTTTATTATGGTTGTTGCTAGGAGCCTTTGAATCAGTTCTGACCCATAGCAACTGTACGCATAAGAGAACCCGACGCTGGTCTGGTCCTTTGCCGTCCTCGTAATTGTTCCTGTGCTGAGCCCATTGTGGCAGCCATGGTGTCAGTCCGTCTCACTGAGGCCTTCCTCTTTCCCGATGCCCCTTTACCAGCATGATGTCCTTCTCTGGGAACCGGTCTCTCCTGACAACAGGTTCAAGGTGTGTAAGGCGAAGGCTCACCATCCTTGCCTCTAAGCTAGTGTTAGCTGGCCATGTTTCTTCTGAGACAGATTAATCTGTCCTTTTAACTGTCCATGGCACTTTCCATAGTTTTCCAAGCACCACAATTCAAATTCTAGTTTTGTTTTTGTTTTTTTCAAATTCTGGTTTTTAAAATAACTTTACTGGTGTATGATTTATGTTTCACACAATTACCCCATTTAAAGTGTACAATTAGTTGATTTTTGGTATAGTCTCGCAGATGTGTGCAACAATCGTCAATAATTTTAGAACATTTTCACCTCTTTAAAAAGAAAACTTTCAACTCTCATCTCAAACTCTTTCTAGCTTTAGCATTCACTAATTTATTTTTTGATTTCTGATAAATGGATTCATGTGCTATATGGTCTCTTGTGATTGACTTCTGTCACTTAGCATAATGTTTTCAAGATTCGTCTACATAGTACAGGGGTTCTCAACCTTCCTAATGCCTCGACCCTTGAATACAGTTCCTCATGTGGTGGTGACCCCAACCATAAATTATTTTCGCTGCTACTTCATCACTGTAATTTTGCTACTTTTATGATTGGGCAACCTCTGTGAAGGAGTTGTTTGACCCCCGGAGGGATCGCGACCCACAGGTTGAGAACTGCTGGCATAGTAGCGTGTGTCCGCTCTTAATTGCTTTTAATGCTCTCATATTTCATAGTGTGGGTAGGCATGCTGTTTTGAACATTTGTGTGCCAGTTTATGAGTTGACCTGTGTTTATTTATTGGATATATAGTTGAAGGGAATTGGTGATTCATACGATAACTCTGTGTTTGATCATTTAAGGGAATGCCAGACTGGTTTCCAAAGTGAAACCATTTTATATTACCAGCAGCATGCAAGAGTTTTGTTATCTCCGCATCCTTCCTACACTTGTTACATGACTTTTTTGTTGTAAACATCTTATTGTGAACTGAAACCACACAATGGCTTTGATTTACATTTCCTTGGTGACTGATAATTTTGAGCATCTTTTCACACTTTTATTGGCTATTCTGTTGTCACCTGTAGAATAATATCTATTCAGAGCCTTTGACTATTTTTAAACTGTTATCCTTGTTCATTTTTATTTTTTAAATGAAAATATAACAATATTTTATCCTGTAGGTTCTCTTTACTTGCTTGATTATATTCTTCAAAACACAGAACTGTTCCATCATGTTATCATTGTTTGGTGCTGTATGTAAGAATCTGTTACCAAATCCACGGTCATGAAGCGTTTTCCCTTGTATTTTCTTAATAGTCATTTAGTGGATTTTAGGTATTTCTACACACAAAATTGTATCACCTGTGAACAGAGATAAATTTCTAATCTGGACACCTTCTATTTGTTTTTCCTACTCCTAATTTCCCAGGTTGGAATCGCTAGTGTTGTGAGAAGAGAAGGGTGCGAGCTCGTGTCCTTGTCTTGGTCCCCAGCATAGTGGGGAAGCAGTCATTCTTTTTTTTTTTTTTTTTAAATTTTTTTAGGGGCGCATACAACTCTTATCACAATCCATACATACATCAATTGTGT